GGCACCGGAAGGGTGCTACATCTGAACGAGGTCGATCGATCCACTGCAAATTTAGCACATAATGTGGGCGTGATGGGTATGTAAAATGTGGGTACATGCTACGAAAAGGTACGTATTAGGTTCCCGTTATGTTGTCTTTTTCGTTACTGGTTCATACAAAGTTCGACCAAACATTTTGTGGAGATTAATTCACAGCTCCTCAACTTTCATGAAGAAAATATACCAAACTTAAATTGTCACTTGGTCTTTGAAGCTAGATGATTATGGGTGGTAGATTTCCAGAGGACTTTAAATATTCCATCCAACTGTATGTGAACCTGGTCTTGTTAAGTTAAGTTGCAAGTTAGACTGTCAGCAACTACTCTTATCAGACTCTGGTCTGGTTGGGTGTCAACTATTCTTTCAGACACGAAATATGGAGATATAATTTTGTACACACGTTGCAAACATACCAGAATACCGGGGAATGGAATGTCTTTGACACCTGTCGCTTGGTTTCAGAGATATCGTCTTTGAATTATACCATGCAGTCAAAACTGACCATAAGAACTGCGTTGCTCGTCATGCTAAAAAGATTTAAGCAATCGAGCGACCGTGTAAACGTGTGCAAATCCTTAGAAGTGACGAATTTCTAAACGTTTATTAGGTAGCCCCAATTAACCGGTCATTCATCTAACGGTACACAAAGACTGATCTATCAGTGGTTTTGTTTTGATGGGTATATACAAGATCTTTAAACGGTTCTAAAGTGTAATCAGTGTGGGTACAAATGTATTTTTTTCAAATCTCATCTCAAGCAAGAAACTGTGGGGGAAATTCACAACAATCTTGAGTTTCCAATAACAAAAACGGTCTGGCTAAACTAAAAGAGAAGAACAAATTAACATAGCCACGTTGTGTATTGCTTTTAACGATTCACTGAGGAAAAGTGTCCTTATAATGCTTTGCAAACAATCCCTGAGAAATCGTTTCCCGATTTCTTATATTTCCATGCATACATGATCCACGACCGTCACGTGATCCGTAAATCCAGCAGATCGAGTTTTCGAGCCTCTAAATAAACCAACAGTGTTGCTCCAAGGACGAGTAGGGAAAATAAAACGGAGTGTTTTCGCACACCTCTCTGCCCGGCCGAATTATGGAGTTCCGTTCTATCCAGCTGTCGATGGGGAAAATACAAATTATAGACTTGTATACTAGCTCGGTATTCATAATACAAGTATCACATACGACAACGGACCTAAATGCGAGTTGACGATTTTCAAATAACTTCAGATATTAAACACTGTAAACATGGTTGGATAGGCAGTGAGAGCACAATAATGTCCAAGCATTTCAGAGAAAAACGATCTGGTTAACCATATACTCCTTCTGTTACTGATATGCAAACCGAATCGTCTATAGCCCAAACTGTCCCGCCAAAAGACGTCTTCAAACTACCGCTGAAAGCAAGAAGACCTTTGCTGCCTTGTTACTTATTAGAAAGTGCCAACTGAACAGTTTTAGACTATTGGATAGGGAACCAAAACTCTCATATGCATCTTGTTTACAAAAACTGAATATCCATCTTCTCCTCGAACACGTCCTCCTGAACTTCCCTGGATGTTCATTTACTGTTGTTCAACTCAAAGCAAATGCGACTCCACAAATTTCGTAATAGATCTCCCTTTTCAAGAGACGCAAAGGGGATTTAAGAGAAAACATACTACTCGCATCCCCCCATCAGTAGTAACACCGTTACACCACCAGTACCCTCCGGATTTATCGCCACCGAACTTCTTCGTTTATCGAGATAATCTCTGTGCATTGAATCAGCATTTAAACAGAACATACTTTATATCTTGATATCCTGAACCGCACACAGCTACACATCGTGAGACAAGCTTAAACCCGTGATCAATATACATAATGTATTCAGTGAGCTCAGTGACCACGTGTTATTTTCGTTAGTTAATAAACAAACGAGAATATTCATGAACAACCAATGAAGAATAAGCTCCAGTGAATCTTCTCAAAGGGGACAACTGTCAAACATAAGCAAGTTACTTTCAAATGAGACTTAATATCAAGAATGATATTCAATAACTATTTCAAAAATTTTCATCAAATTGTATCTAAATCCTGCTATAAGTTTTTTGTTGAAAAATTCACTACCGAGTTGCATCAGCAAGATGTCTAAAAAAACACTCGTTTATACACTTAGAAAAAAATTACAAGGCACAGCATCGGGGAAAACCGGCATACACATAGCTCTGGTTTTTGAGAGTCGGAAATTGACTTTGGTCATAGCGGCATAACAGCCAAAGAAAATTCCAACGTAGTTCACAACATCCAGCGCTTCACCCTGATATGTCAGAGGTATGTCCAACGGCCGTATCCCCCGGAACACAATTTTGTACTTTATGAAAGCAGAGGACATGTCAGTGTATTTACTAGCACTGGTTAGTCCTTCCAATTAAGCTTGTGACTCTTCCTATTCAAAGAGAAGAAGTATGTCGTCTGCCTAATTCAGGTATACAATATTCTCAACCAAGCATATGTGAATCTGGGAGTTCCGTCAATACTCCAGTGAATCGTTTTATCAATCTATCGATTGAATGGCGCCAGGTTAGTTGTCACTCAACATCTATTGGTCCGCAGATCACAGGCAATTTGACCGGATAGATGCGGCCTTGAGAGTTCCACCAAACTATTTGGGGTGTAATGACCAGCATCCAGAGTTCTGTTTACCGCTCTACGCTAAATTGAAATCTATCGACGCAGGCACACTAATGAATCTTACGGATAGCTGTGAGTTCACAGCTATCAAATCAGCCCTCCGAAGCCCGAATGCTCCGTATGTGAAACCCACGCTCCAAGTGAGGTAGTTGGAATATACTGCTTGCATTTGTGCCCCCTGAAACTTCGTTTGTATGCCCGGTTTCAGTAGCTAGTTTGAACTTTTCCACACCTGTGTTGCTGAAAGCTCATATTTTCCACATGGCAAGGCTGGAATTCCAAAATTCATTTTCCTTCTACGAGATCAGTTCCAGATGCGTTGAATTCCATCACACACGTGCCTATGAATTTCAATCATACTCCTCTGGAGAATCGACCGAGGCTACACGTTGGCGCTAAAAGACAGGCCCTTGCATGTTTTCTTCAACATCAGTTGAAAACATACAGAAATCTCTTGACGGCAATAGCTTAAATTGTTAGTCCTGTGATCTACTTAGTCATTCAAAAACACTTAATCCTACTGAATGATCATGACTTTTCACATGCTCGCAACCGACATTTGGGTGCATATAATGTTTTCGATTTCTCTATCGAGCACCAAGCAGACAGCTGGTGAAAAAATTATAGATTTCACTACAGTTTATTAAAGAAAATAAGCTAATCAAGAATCTACAAATCATCAAACATAAGAGGCATCCAATTCAGGTCATATCGCTGATTTGGTTAGTATAAAAAAGTAAGTAGGTCAGGAAGAAGTTCATGTTCCGCTGTGAGCTGTGTCGTTAGTCGTGTTAGATACGCTTTATAAATACTCCCGTTAGTACAATTTGCCCAACACTAGTACTCTACGTAGATGCTTTTGAACTCTCATCTACAGGTGGACTTCATCGCGAAAGAATAGAACGCTCCATTTCCTGGGGGTGCAAACATACATTGCATTTTCATATGAAAATCACAGAGAATAACAAGATCGTGGCCTACGTGATCCACTTTAGCTGCTGTAAAACTGAAAATACCTTTGTATGAATCGCGCCATTTCGTTCATCAGCTCTGCGAATCAGACTGTCAACGTTGCGTCTGGCTGGGTTGCATCTGCTGACTTGACTTCTGAGTCCGATCGCGACGAGGCTGTTAGCCAAGGCCAGAATATGTGACGCCGAACATTGGGAGTTGATTTGTCGCTCTACGCATCGCGCTATTATACGAGAGGTGCTGTAAATTTGAGAAATATACAGAAGTATTGGCTGTGTGATAGGTTCAAGATTGAAGCATGACATCAAATTCTGATCTCAAAAATGTCGCTTCTGTTTGTGGTCATTGTAGAACACAGTGCTTATAGTCGATGATGGCAAAACCCCTCGGATTCAACTCTTGTTCCCTTCGTTAATTTATCAGATGATCAGGTTTGGAACCAAGGTTTGAACCACAAGCTTGGTGTGCAGTAAAATCATTGTTCTTAACCAACAACTTATAGGCTACCCGGGCAGTTTTTCGCTTGTTTGCGACAGGATTTCTCCTGGAATACGACCCGCAGAAACAGCTAAGATGTACCAGATCGTTTGTTTCTGTACAGAGAAGGGATATTTGTTATTGATTTCACAGTTCACGAAATATTAACAAAAATCGAAATGACCAAAAGGGAAATACCAGTCCTATTGGAAATTCATATTACCCAAAGCCCAGTCTCGTTGAATGTTTCCGTCTTCGGCCAGTCCATCATACAAAACTTGCTGCACATACATTCATTATAATTTAGTATTTCCGGGCAAAAGGTGACAAAATGGTCTGCAGTGAGCTGAGCTACTTTGGAATGTTGAATCAACTCATCCTAATCAGGATTACCATACATCGATGACTCTTTCGTTTTGTCAGCCCGTGTTTCAGTTACAAAAAGAGATGACAACCGTGACAATCTCTAATCATTAAAAACATTTACACAGGCCTATAGAGTAGCTTTTCCGGCATTAATATTGATAATCTGAACCATTTTTTGCAGCCACAATTAATTTTGTCTATATATATGCACTTATTAAACTCCTTCCTTCCAACGACGTTCTATGTAGCACCACCCTATGGTGTGCACAGTGTAGCGAGACTGTGGTGTTTCTCTCTTCAAACAAACACCTCTGTGGTACGCTTAACCTCCGGATGTCCTGTACGGGACGAGTTTATTGTACTAACGTCAAGTGCTCGAAAAATGCCATGGAGTAACGAGTCATTCTGAGGGAAAACTATCAAAGAGAGTTAGTTTATTTGGAGAGAAACTGTCAGTCAGAGTACAAATTCTGTTGGCAGGTGAGGCAAAAAACTATCACGCAAAAGAAAGGTACTCGCAGGAGGTTAGCAAGGATAGTTTACTTTTCATGATTCGTAAATGATGATCTGCAGCAAATGAGCAGAACGAATGGGAAAATAGATTTCCACCGAGTCATCTTTATCAACTTGGCAGTTACACTTGCAACATGAGCTTTACGATATCCTTCGGACAAGGTGACAAGATTAAACTTAGCATAGAAGAGTATTCCGTCAGTCTGATCTCATTTCAAAACTAAACCAAAATCTAAGATTACTAAAAGCACCCTAAATGCGTGTGTACCTGCGTTCTAACCACGTTGAATCAAACAATGGCTGTGCTTTCCTTCAACCTGTAGCTGTGGCCTAAAATGCTAACTTTCTGCGTAAGAACCCCAGTTCGAGTCTCCAACGTCCGAACACCCAAGCGCACTGACAGATGCCATTTCGATGTGTTTTGCGGATCTTAATGGCAAACTTTCCAACAGTGAGTAATACTCATAGCCTTTGAATTTTCCATGGTAGCGTGCAATTATTTCATATTTGACGTGTTTGTGCGTGACGAGCATATGAAACGACTGTCTCAAAGAAAGTGTCGCCAGATGTCGTTATTCAGAAATTAAAAGCCGGCGAAAACAGGACTAAGTCACCTTTGGCCACCGTATTCTTGTGACTATCACCGCGGCTTATTGTCATCCTGATGAAACACTTTCACGAAACATTAACTAGAGTGGTTCTGATGCAAAAACTGAGAAAATTCTTCACGATAAAAAATCTATCTTATCGGTAGGTGTCACTGTCTACACTACCGTTTTAGCTAGCGTTTTTGTGTTAAATCTGAACGGTGAAAAACACCACTACGAGAGGGATTTGTCCTGCCTGAAACGAGGCAAAGTAATATGTTGAACAGTAATTGGATCATAAGAATTCACTAAAATGCTCGCAAAGTTGTGAAGCTCTGTGTAAAACTATCATTTTTCGGATAAGAGTTGGATAATTGAGTCCTCAATAATTCACACTAAATCAAGTTTTAAACGTCCACTCGAAATTTTATATCAATCAGCTGGAATAATTGTGCTTCGCGTAAGGCACTTTCGTTCATATACCCTGCAGATTTTATCTGGACATTGAGAAATTAGTGTATAGTTGACTGGTTATTTTGCAAGCACGTGCTTTCCTCGTATGCCGAGTTCTTACGCTACCAACATTACCTTGAGTCTGTCAAATGAAGTGTGCAGAGGCCAGTGTCACCTACCCTTGTGACCTATCGAACAGAGGCTTCTGAAACTAAGCACCAGATATTTTACGTACACCTTTATATATATATGTATGTAGTCAACTCCCTCCTTCGAACGACATACCATGTACTGCCGCCCTATGTAAAACAAAGTCAGCGAGTTTTCTGGTGCAGCTGACAGAAACCGAAACGTGGATATGCTACCATAAAACGTGACACTGAGTGGTATACGAAGGTTTAAAGGGTTGTTGTGGCTGTCTTGCTCGAGTTCAAGAACAAATTTAATGTGAATATTAGTACAAACAGAGATTTTATTTTCGGTCTCTATCGGACGTCTTGTGTATAAATATCCCTTCTTATGAGAGCGGATTGAACTTTAGCTCTTTCAGCTGTCTGGGGTTAATAGACCAAGCAGGTTTTTCCGGAAGGTAGGGCACTTCGTATATTATGAAATACAGACAGACGCCAGTCTAGCTTTCCCGCATCATTCTAGTTCGTTCTGAGGTTTAATTAACCGGATAAATCGACTAATTTCTCAGAATTATTGGGTGATCAGCCATAACCTGATTCATGCTTCTAGACAGGCCTAGGAGTTGGT